GCCAAATTCTCTGTAACACCTTTAGAGACTGCTTATGGTAGAGAAATGAACATTCAATTCATGGGCAACAGCTCTGGTGGACATTCCTGCAGTCAGCATACCAATTGCACGCTCCCTCAAAACTTGCGACATCTGTGGCATTGTGCTGTGTGATAAAACTGCACATTTTAGAGTGGCCTTTTATTGTGGCCAGCCTAAGGCACACCTGTGCAATAATCATGCTGTCTAATCAGCATCTTGATATGCCACACCTGTGAGGTGGATGGATTATCTCGGCAAAGGAGAAGTGCTCACTAACACAGATTTAGACAGATTTGTGAACAATATTTGAGAGAAATAGGCCTTTTGTGTACATAGAAAAAGTCTTAGATCTTTGAGTTCAGCTCATGAAAAATGGGGGCAAAAACAAAAGTGTTGCGTTTATAATTTTGTTCAGTGTAGTTATCTTTTATCATGAGATTAGGCTGATATTTCAGAGTGTTTATAGTGTGCGTTTCATTTTCATGATTTCTATTAACTACTTATTTTACTGCAATTAACTATTAAACATTCAGAAATATATAATATATTACAATAATACCAAAAAAATTAATAAACCTTTGTTACCATTGGTTAGCATTTTTCAACAGCTATTTTCTTGTGGCACTTGTTTAAATGCAAAATCTCAGATTTATATTAAGTGTCCAATTTAGATTCTTAAGGGCAGCTGATGTGCATCATGTTATTTAATAATAAAAGAAATGCTTATAAGAACCGCACACCAGATAGTCATGGTATTTCTTGGTTAGCAGCTAAGAGTTACTATATCATAAACCATAAGAGAAAATATGAAAAATGACATGCTGACACCATGCCAAATATTTAGAAAACAGTTCTGATATTTTGCTAAAAATAAATGCAACTTTGATGAAAATAAGAGACTTCTTTCAAAAACATAAAAAGATTTATAGCATAAATAAAAATATTTAAAACCAAAACTTTTAAACCATAGTGTATTTCAGGTAAAGAATATGGGAATATTTTTAAAATGGTGGGCCACAGAAGATTCTTTTTATTCCACATAAATGTCATGAGGGTGATGTGAATAATGGCACAATGTCTTTACAAAATTCTATTCTATCTATTCTGTTTTTCACATCCTTATTCACCTCACTAATTGAACACATTAGCACCTCCTTTGCCTACAGATAAAACAACTAGGCGAGCATCACATGAAGTCAAAGAATTCTGCTACACCCTGACGCTGGTATTGTACCACAGAGCCAATCCCACAGAAGTGATGCAGCCAGGCAGCATTCCTGTTCAACACAATGTCTAGCTTGCATCTTTTTTTCCCACGTGTGGAATGTTGACAAAAGAAGAATTATTAATATAAGACTCCATCAATCCAGTCCAACAAGTTAAATATGCCATCGACCCTAACAACGTTCACAGAGAACGCATGCATACATACATATGCACTCTACAAAAAGGCAATGCCACAAACCGTTTTATGGTTCTGTTTCCATCATCCATTACTGGAGGGTAAACCATGTTATATTCCATATTATATCAGTTTTGGATTCTGTTCATTTTTGCTGAGAACACAAATCATCTATCTTATTCTTCTAGTACAGTTCAAGTCCTTTACACAAATCATTTACACAAATATATAGTTAAATATTGAATTGCCATCACCTACACACAACAGAGGCTGTCCATAAACCATCTGATGCACTAAAAACAAACTCAAGAGTCAGAACTAATGCATCACAGAGCAGGAAATGAATCAAAGGGATCTTCATTATCATAGAGCGTGTCCTGGTGCCCTCTAGAGGTAATCAGCTGCAGTCTCAAGAGCTGTGCAGTGATTTTATTCCAAGACATTAAAGGGATAGTTAATTAATAGTTCCTACACAAAAATTAAACTTCTTTCATTATTTACTCATCCTCATGTTGTTTTAAACCTGTATGACTTTCTTTCTTCTTCAGATCATAAAAGTAGTTACAGTTTGGTTACAAACATTCTTTAAAATTAACAGATTCGGAACATGAGGGTTGAGTAAATGATGACAGAACTTCGTTCATTTTTGGGTGAACTATCCCTTTAATATTTTATGAAAATGATGGTGTCATATTGATGTCTATCATATATCATCATGTTTGTCGAGTTTGTCAAACCCCAGAGCTACTTACACAACTCAAATGAGATTATTTTTCCATCATATTTCTTATACTGGGAGAGCGCATCTACTGTGTAAATATAATTATTGTGAAAAATGGACATTTGAAATATAAAGTATTCCATCCAAACAATACTTACCAATTAAGAGATAAATTAAGAAGTTAAATATTATTAAATATTTAATACAAAATTATTAATAATATTTATAAATTAGTATTAAATAACTTAAAAATGAACAAAGTAATTGTTGAGAAGTTTTACAACTACTACTAATACTCATTAGGAAATGAGTATGACTGCATGAGTTTTATAAGACTGTGTGTAATGTGTAAGATGTAAAATCCTACTTGAAGCACTGCGTGGTCTGTTGTCCGAAAGTTCAGAGATGGCTCCTGTGGTGACGGTCTTCTTTATGCGGGACACTGAAGCCCATGAACCCTGAACAGGTTTAGCCAGAGCATCATCACTGCTCGCTCTTTTTATCTAAACACAAAAATATTAGCACCGTCAGTGAAACAGCTGAGAATCTCATTTTTGACTAAATATGATGCTTAATACTTCGTCAAATGAAATTACAATGGGAGTTTTTTTACTTTTAGTCCATGTCTATGCTTGTGAAAAGTTGATAAAATTACCTTTTAGCATCATTCATGCATTTAAAATGAAAAGTTTTTTTTTTTTTTTTTGTCTGGGAAAATTAATTAATATAGTACCTACTTCTGACCAACAATAGCAATGGCAATGCAATTAAAACCCTTTTTGGACCAGATTGATTAACATTAATAACATTATTCTGGACTCAAAATTTAGCCAAAAGGTGACAAGTTTGCAGCTCTGCTAAATATTTATAAATATGTCAAATATTGATATTAGGAATGTCCAGATCAGGTTTTTTGTGCCCCCAATCTGATCCGAGTCATGGAATTTTGAGCATCTGTTGATACTGAGTCCCAGTCCGATACTTGTATTTTTCTAGTGTTTAGTGTACACGTCAAGTACATTAAAGTTATTAAAAGCAATCCAATTTACACAGGGATGTGCAGAGAGTTTCTCAGGGACAGGGGCTCAAATATAAAAAATAATATATGTAATATCTAAATTAAAAAAACAATTACTACAGTAATTACTCACACACATATTGATAGATAGATAGATAGTAGAAGTAAACTGTAAATTACTTTCGAGTGATTTATTACAGAAGTGTGCATCAAATACACTAAACATGAAAGCTCAAATGTGTGTGTGTGACACGCTAAAACAGACCTCATTGATTGTGTGGCGCATCATGCACACACATTTTAGCGTATTTTCCTTTTAATGGCGGTTGGCAAACCTACTGCAATGTGCATACCGCCACCTGCTGCACGACAACGGGCTTCGGATAGCTGATACCAATCAGTTGTAAAATGCTTAATCAATTTTAATTGGTCCTATGTACTGTACACATGTACATCTCTGAGCATCATATCTTGAAGTTCATTTAGTGCTTTCCACCACTTTTGTTCTGCATTCTGGGGGGGTTTTTTTACACAGAAAGTGTGCTGTGTCAGTGTTCCATCACTCCCACATCTCATCCATTCCAATGGCATATTAGATCAGTGTTACAGCTCACCTTGCTGAGTCGCAGATCAGAGGCAATGGTGCTGGACGATCTAGAGGTCTTCATCCCAATGTTGCTGGAGTATGTGCTTTGGGAGCTGTTGGTAGACAGCTTTGCACGCTCCGGGGCTCCCATCCTGGGCAGTGCCGCCTTGGCAATGCCCCCTTTCAACATAGTCTTCTTGGTTCACAACTCTCACTACTTGTTCTGTGGATAAAGCAACAAGAGGAAGCAGAGGTTCAGATTTAGATGGTTGAGTTCAGATTATAGCACAGGAAATAGTTTAATCCTAATGGGATTGCTGAATACAAATATTTAAAACAATTTAAATTCAGCAGAATCAGAACACCCATCAATAGAACACACAAATTCTGTATTCTTGCATGTTTGTTTAAAAAATATTTTGGTTTACTTGGTAATAAAGCATTCATCTGTCAATAAGAGTGTACGCCAAGATAGGCGTCTGCTACCCAACCCAAGCCAGACCAAAAAAAAAACAAAGCTGTTTTTTTGGTTATACCTTAGGGTTTGCATTGATTTGGTTATTATAAAACTACTACAATATATTATTTTAATGCTATTATTAAATTACCATGTCTGTGGCAAATGTGTATCTGGGACTACTTGCTCATAGAGGAAAAATCAGAGAGTGATTTCAAGTTTGGTATTAAAATTTCACAGTACCGTTTGGATCAGATTGTGGTTTATTTATTTCCAGGATTCAATGTAGTGCTCTTTAAATCATTCAGAATTCTGCAAGTTTTCAATCCAGAAAAAGTGAAAAAGAGTAGCAAAGAAATCTGCAAGGAATATCCTTCCAGGAGGATGCAGGATCATTTAACTGATATCATCTTAAAGCAAGTAAAAGTGAGGCAATTTAGAAGGAGAGAGATGAGGAAGAGAGAGCGAACGTGAAAGAGACACAACCCAAAGATAAATCTAAAGGTTCCTGTCACTAAGCATGTCCTATTGTTAATTTATCTAGTAATCAAATGCTCCTATCAGAGACCCAACATCTTCAGTTCAGAGTGCAGGTCTCACCCTATAAGATCTCTAAAACTATTAATGCACACAGACCGAGTGATTCAAAGTGAATGCAGAAATCTATTAGTGCACAAATTAGAGGTAATGTGAGAGGAGTGGACAGGTGGCCATTGACTGAAAGAGACATGAGTGCTCTTCAAAACAGAGAAGGGAAGAGGGTGAGGAAGCTAATGTGTTCTGCAGAGAGCTGAGCATATAATATACCCTTGTGGGCTGCTCTCATTGATTTAAGTGATGATGGGGTGCAAATGTACACAGGCCCAACCCTTAACAACGTCCCAAGAGATATGTAATGAGAAATATACGAACAGCAGAACCTTACCAGTGAGAAAGACTTCAGTTCACAAAAAATTATCTTCTTCCTACACTTTGCTCCACCTTTCACTCTCTATATTCTTGTCTTCCCATTCACAAACAGCAAAAAATGGCCTAATATTCAAGTATAACTTGAACTCTTCAGCTCACTATAGGGTGTTATGAGTGTTACTATAGTGACCTATGACTAATCAAATTGGTGTCTGATCTCTGACTCCTCAAATCTTAAGGCTGGAATACACTACAATACTTTATTAAATCTAAACAGATTTTCAAACACTAGACATCAGGAAAACTGGGCATCATACATTAAGCCACCGAGGATCAGGGGCGGTTCTAGACCACAGTAACTGGGGGGGGGCCAGACAGGGGCCACGTGTGCTTTTAGGGGGCACAATTTAAAAATGAATCTTAAACTACTTTAAGTAGCCTATTATTCATTCAGTAATTTTTCACCATGTCATGTATCGCTGCAATCTAGATGTAATCTATAACAATTTCAACTAAAATGAATGTTTCATCATGTTTCATTTGACAAATAATTTTGTATTGTAGTGTCAGAGGCATCATTTTTGAGGTGGCACGAATAAGGGGGGGGCTCTCATGCTTGTCATATGACACACAGCAGCCACAAACAGGCCAAATATAGGCTTATGTCTCTACTGAAAAATAAATAAATAAATAAATAAAAAATAAAACCATCACAGAAAATGTTAATGATTTCCACAACAAATAACATTACAAACATTAGAAACCAGCGAATTTTCACTTCAGTCCAGCGAATTCAAGCACTCTCAAAAACTCCCATAATAATCTCTAAAGCTGTTTACACTGTAAAATTAATATATTACTTACATTAGTACATCTTCACTTTGTTGTTTCTGATGAGATAATTAGCCAGAGATTGCTGTCGCGCGCAGTGACGAAACAGCGTGTTTCAGCGGTGACTCATCTGAACGCCTCTGACTGGTCTTTGTATTCATAAACTCAACATAATAGTATGGGATTGGTTATAATGCGCAGTGCTTTAAAAACGTGTGCGTCTCTGGCTCTGTGCCAGCCAGCGAACGCAGATTTGAATTTAGCTGCTGGAGATGTTTTTCTTTTTTTATACGCATAGTTTACAGGACAAACTGCCGAGGATCATACACTATCAGACTTTCAAGTCGTTACAAACACTTGGTACTAGGAGATGAAAACAATATATCATCTATAATTGGTTCAAACTATCAAACATGTCTGATATCTTCCAACTAGACAGAATTGGATGTAAATCTACATCTACATCCACATCTCATTGTCACAGGTCAGGGTGTGTCCCCGGTTCTTCTCTGTTGTTTGTTTTGGTCCTGTCATTTTCTGCAGCAATCGCACAATCATGAGCTGATCACCCACACCTGTCACTCGTTCCCTTTATTTATTCCCAGCTGTGTCTACCCCTTGTTGTCAGTTGATCACTATTCATGTTGCGTGGATTTTTCATGTTCTGAGCGCTCATTCACGTGTTTTTACCTGCTTGTTACCCTATGCTCAGGACCCCAGGATGAGGAGTTCTCTGAGGAGTTCACTCATCTATGAGTATCTCTGCAACGTGCAACGTGCAATGTGCAAGATGCTTTTACTTGCTGGACTTGGACTCGTTATTAGGTGTGTATGGCTAACACGGGGAGCTACCACTCAGAGGCACAACTTATTCACCTTGTCACATTGTTCACGTTTGCTCCTAAAGTTTTCTAATAAACTTCTGTTCACTGCAATTGAGTCCTCCATTTGCCTGAAGCCTGACACTTATAGGTTTCAGGGTGACAAACCCTACATCAGTGGTTTTCAAACTTGTTCCTGGGGACCCACAGCTCTGCACATTTTGCATGTCTCCCTAATTTACACACCTGATTCAGATCATCAGCTCATTAGGAAAGAGCTCCATGAACTCAAATGAGTGTGTCCGATAAGGGAGACATGCAAAATGTGCAGAGCAGTGGGTCCCGAGGAACAGGATTGAAAACCACTGCCCTACATGACAAGCCACCTAAAAATAGAGCGTCATTGCAAGTCTCACTACAATTTTTTTTTTTTTTCTTTTTTTTTAGGTCAAAATGTTAGTTGCATTAGTTGTGTTTTGTGTATTTGCATCTTTGTATTTCAGCCTGAGTGACTCAAAGGAAATTTAACATTTATCCTTGCTGCCAATAGCCTACAAAAACTACATCAGCAGTTTGCAGCACAGGAAAGGTTAGCACGCTTCGCTCTAATAGCTTTCAAGCAGACCGTGACACTGGCACAGAACATGTACAGTTATCTAAAGATAATCTTCAGTTTGCCTATGAAAAACAGGTCGCTCACTCCTGATGCTGTCCCATATAAAGCGACCCAAATTGAAATCCACTATCCCAAAAGCAACCTAAACTTCTAAGAGCAGGCTTTAAAAATGAACCTAGCAGTTATGTCATACATTTGACACGCTTCACCCCTATTTTACAGACAATTCATTATGGAAAAATAAATGTCCTCCAAAAATATGCTTTTGGTAATCAAATCGATTGATGAAATCTGTGACTATCCAGTGCTATTAGGCAATATTACAAAAGGAAAAAAAGCAAACTGCAGCCTCTATGGTTTGCAGCACAGCTATAGTGGGATATCGGTCAGCAAGGCATCCTAGTCTAGAAAACCATGCCGGGAATTTTCTAAACGAATGACCTAAAAAACATGAGCATTTGACCACACTCTAAAGTCTGTGCTTTTCATTTACAATTTTTCTCAGTCGCTTTGGTGCATTTCTCGAATCATCCTTAATATTTGCAATGAAGTATGTGCATTTCTCAAAACAAAGCATTTCGTACAAACAGCACCACACAATGGATTAACTGCAAAAGCCTGTAAGCCTCTCAAAAGTATTTGTCAATGAACATATCAGTGCCATCAAAATGAAAAGTCATTGTTCACAAACAAACTAGTCAAAATTCTTAGTCATGTTGTCAATATAACAGTGCACTCTGTTAGAATTACCTGATGTAAACTATGGCAACAGTTGTATTTTAATTAATGTCTGATAAAAAAAAATTACATAATTGTGATATAGAAAAGAAATATGGTCACAAAGGCAAAAATACAAAATTAGAAAGGCAAACACAGGAAACACTCCTTAGGCAGAACTTTGCTTTTGCATGCAGCACTGTATGAAGAATTGCAGTGCAGTCTGTGTACACCTCCTGATGTGCCAGTCTTTCGGCCCACAGATTCTCATCTACATCTATGAATATCTTTGCAATGTGGAATTGGAGTCAAGTGAACCATCTCAAAACTTCATATGTGAATGAGGCTGGCTTCAACCTGACCAAAAGCAGAAGGAGTGATCGAAATGTCAGCGAAATGTCATGAGATGCATCTTTGAGGTATTTCAGACAACTGGTTTATCATTAGCTGATCTACATTCTCTTCATTAGTGAAAGTCAAGATTCATCTGCACAATGCATGGTGAATTTACAAAAAGTCTAATAGAAATGTGTAGAAAATGTGCTTGACAGTTTGACAACTAGATCAACCATTTTGCCTAGATATTTTGGGGGGTAAGACTATTGCACAGAGAACTATATAATAAATTTTTAGCAACATGACATTAGCAACTGATAATGTAGGAAACTTTAGACAAATGTACATAATCAATTGAATGAATGTACTAGGGATGCGCCGATCCGATATTCATATCGGGTATCGGCTCCGATAGTGCCATTTTTCTCGGATCGGGTATCGGTCAGAGAGAGCTGATCTAATATGGCTGCGTTGTGTCACATGACAAGCATGATGCGTCGCCATGGAAACAATAAGGCGATACATTCTAAAATAAC